TGGGAGTAATGCTTCTAGGAACACTCATGCAGAGATTTTTGTGGGGAGGTGAGGTTTTATTCCTTTAGATGAATACCCAGGATTGGAGTTCCTGGGTCATACAGTAGCAATTATTCTGTTTAATTGGTAAAATGACAAACACTTTTGAATGACAGCCACACCATTTAATATTCCTGCTGGAAATGCATGAGTGTTCCAGGAAAAGTCTCTATACCATGCCAATGAGCAAGCCATTTTGGAGTTACAATCTGTGCCCAAATCCAGGTCCAGTCACTGATTCCTCAGTAAGACAATTAAAAAGCACAAAGCAGAAAGGGTGTTTAGCCACTGTGTCTCCACTGGGAACAGACTTGAGGGATTAATGGATCTTCTTGTCACTTTTCCCAGAGTGACCACAAAGAGTCAATCTCCTTTTCCTGCTCTGCATGTCAATTAAGCTCTTTTAATTGGTTCATTGAGGGTGGGTGACCGGATCTGACTTGGGGCACAGATTGTGACCCCCAAGTTCGGCAACACCATTGATTGTAGTGCCTGTAGTGTAGGATGACAGTATGGTTTCCATTTGCCCTTCTCTAATGACTAATGCTGCTGAGGGTTCTTCCACACGCATACTAAACACAGCTATCTCTTTGAAGAAAGTATTCAAACTCTTTGCCGGTCTACACACACACACACACACACACACTATTTCTATCACATATAAAATTCATAAATATTTTCTCTAATTATGTGAACTATCTTTTTACTTTCCTTTATAAACAAAACATTCTAGCTCTGATAAAACCCAATTTTTTTTTTTTTTTTTTTTTTTTTTTTGTCTTTTCCTACTTTTGTCTGTCTTGGGCAGAACATCTAAGGAGGCATTGTCCTAACCAAGGCCAGAAGGTTATACATTTTCTACAAGTTTCATAGTTACACTTAAATCTTTGATACATCAAGAGTTAATGTTTATATATAGCCCAACCTCATTCTTTTGCATATGGTATCCAGTTATGAACATTTGTTGAAAACATTGCTCTTCCCCCATTGAACTATATTGCTCTCTTTGTTAAAGCAAAGTTGGTCAGGGCTGGGTAGGCTAACTCAGTGGTACAAAACCTGGGTATAAGTTTAAAAACCAGAAAACACTAAGTAGCTCTTCTGCTCATAAACACGGGGGATTACTTCTATTCTGCTGATCTATATTGCTGAGCATAGGCCATTACCATCCTGTTTCATCACAGCTTTGTGGCAAGTTTTAAAATCAGAAAGTGTGAATATGCACGCTATTTTGTCCCTTCAAGACCATTTTGGATATTCTGGGTCCTTGTGGTTTTTAGTATATAAATCTTGCATTTCTCTTGTTAACTTTACTCAGTTGAGCAATCTTAAAGTTTACAGATACTTTGTATAGCAAGTTGAAACCTGTTGTCCAATTTTAGTAGTTTTAAAACAATTTACTATTATGGGCTGTCTTAGTCAATGTTCTATTGCTGTGAAGAGACCATGGTAACTCTTATAAAGGAAAACATTTAATTGGGGCTGGCTTACAGTTTCAGAGATTTAGTCCATTATCATCATGGTGGGGAGCATAGCAGCAGGCAGGGGCTAGAGATTAGCTGAGAGTTCTACACCCAGACAGACAGACAGACAGACAGACAGGGAGAGAGAGAGAGAGAGAGAGAGAGAGACTAGGCCTGGCTTGAATATTTGAAACCTTAAAGCCTACCCCCAGTGGTACATTTCCTCCAATAAGGCCATATCTCCTATCCCCTATCAAGTAGCACCACTCCCTAATGAGGTTGCATTCAAATGTAGGAGCTTATGGGGGCCATTCCTATTCAAATCACCACAGGGTCTACCTGTGGTGGTGCATGGATTTAATCTCCCCACTCAGTAGGCAGAAACAGGTGGATCTCTGTGAATTTCAGGCCAGCCTGGTCTATATAGCAAGATGAGGGCAGCCAGGCTATAAAGTGAGATTATATCTAAAATAAATAACTAATTTAATTTATTATTGGGATTTTAACTGCAGAACTTTTTGGTTTCCTATGTTTTTCTTTTTAAAAAAAAAATCTGATTATTGTTACTCTTTGATGAGACACAATTTTATGTACCTTCCTTTAATTCTTCAGACACATTCCCTAATTCTTTCAATATAGTAATATATTAATATAATAACTGGATTCCCTCAATTACAGTTTTAGTTTACTGGGCAATTTTTCCTTCTTTATGGCCCATATTTTGGGGTTTTGTTTTTGTTATATGTACTTTAGTTCTGTTTGTTTGTTTGTTTGTTTAAAGTGCTGGGAGTCGAACTCAAGGTCTCATGTATATTAGATTTGCGTTCTATCAGTGAGCTACACTCCCTGCCCCCATCTTGTAACTCTTTGTTGAAGACTGAACATTCAAAAACTAAGATGTGGCAACTCTGGTTAGATTCCCTCCTCCTCCCTGTAGCTGTTGTCTGTTGCTGCTTTTGTTGTTATTGGTTCTTGAGTTTCTTGAATTGATCTGTACAGTCTGGATTCCTTAGCATGCATGACCCCTAGTCTCCAGTTAGTTAACCTACTGGCGGACTCATGAGCAGACAGAAACTCCCTTCAGTATTTTAACCAAGAACGGCTCCAGGCTTGGCTGAGTGCCCTGCCTCCTTCCGCATTTGGGGCATGGCTTCTGTGGCCAGCTGGGCAGTTTTATGACTCTAACCTTAGGCAACTCTTCCTGTTTGTGAGAGTCTCAGCACATGTCAAAGGTGAGAGGGGTTTCCTGGTCCTTTCCTAGTCACATGCAGAACCACGCCCAAATAGCTTAGATTCCCAAGAATTTGTTGGAACATTCAAAACTCTCTGTGAATATCTTTTTATGGTTTTATTTTCTCTTGATGCCAAATGGAATCACTGCCTCAAGACAATGCTTAAAAAATTCCCGACTATCTGACCAACACTCTATTAATAAAGCTGTCCATAGAGAAAGTTCTGAATCCAGTCAAAATAACTGTAAGTTCTAAGAATGCAATTTTACATGCAGATTGCAGAGAAGTCACACAGATAATAATCATACCAGAGATTCCACTATTTTGGAAGACCCCAATCCCATGCTGGCTCCTTCCATCAGCTATTAGTTTTCTGGTCTTCCACAATTATAGCAAAACTGTGAACTTCTGTGGCCACCAGCAATCACTGTTTTCAGTGACATTCAGCTACTCTTTTTCTTTAAATATATGTTTCTGGATTATTGGAAAACTTTTGGTTAATTTTTAGAGGTTCATAAAAAGCAAAATTTTACCATTATTGTCAATATTGTCACTGTTGATGTTGAACAAGTTTTGGAGGTCCTCGCCCCAAGTCCCTGAGTTTCTCTAGAAGAAACACTTAAAACTATTATTGTGATTCAGGTCCTATTAGATGCTTCAGCAGGTAAAGGGTGATGGCCACCAAGTTTGATAGGCTTACTCCAGCCCCAGAACCCACTTGGTGGAAGGAAAGAATAGATCCCACAGACACCCCCCCACCCCCGGCCTGGACCTACACACACTGGGGAGATGGTACATATACAAATTAATTAACTAACTAAAAAACTTAAACTCCTACCTTGGTTCAATAGTATTTTTATTTCCTTTCTACTCACAAAGTAACCTACTTCTCCCTCATTTCTTTCAGTAAATAAATAACAAAAATTTAGGGGGCTGGGGCTATGAAAAAAAATTTCCCAACTTGTACAAATCATTTTCCTCTGCTTTGGCACTGTGGAGGGAAGTTTCGGGAACAACATGGGTCTAATCTGTTTCTTTCTAAACAAATAAATAAAAGTACAGGGGATGTGCCTGGGTTGGTAGAGTGGCACCTGCTATCCTGCAAGAAGCTCTGGATTTAATCCCTTGTACCTATATAAACTGGATGTGATTGTGCACCCCACAATCCCAACACCTGGAATGCTGAAGCATGAGGAACAGAAGTTCAAGGCCCTGGGTTGCAGTAATGACTTGGTGGTTAAGAGCTCATACTGCTCTTACAGTGGAAGGGAAGTCCACACCTAGAACTCATGTTATCACTCCACTTCCAGGAGATCTGAGACTTCTGGCCTCCCAGAGCAACTGCACTCACATGCGTAGACCCACAGGCACTCACACAAACATGTTATTAAAAATAAAACAAATCTTGGGTGTGGCCATATAGAACTTTTGGTCCCAGCATTTAGGATGCAGAGGCAGGCAGTTCTTTAAGAATCAGAGGCCAGCCTGATCTATGCTGCAAGTTCCAGGCCAGCCGAGGCTACACAGTGAGACCCTGCCTCAAGAATTAAGTCAATAAAATAAAGATATTTTTGAAGAAATTCAAGATCATCTTCATACACCAAGAACTCAAGGCAAGCCAAGTATTCATTAAAGGCTAAAGGCTTCTGCTACCAAACCTGAGTTCAATCTTAATAACCCATGTAATGGAAGGCAAGAAATGACTCCTCAAAAGTGTTCTCTGACCTCCACATACACGCTATGGCCTGTGCATCCTCCTACCTCCCCTACCCTAACACAAAAGCAACAAATGTAATTAGAAAAAAGTAAGCAAATATCTAGTCTGTCTTTCCAGCGCTAGGCTAGTCATGAGATGAACTGGAAATTGGAGGAGCATCAGGAAAGGCTATGCAGTGTCCTGAGATAAAAAGGGTACCAATGCCTGAGTTTCTGCAGAGAAAGGCAGAGCTTCCAAACAGACCTGCTAGGTGGTAATTACTCAACTGTGGCTTCCACTTCAAAGCTTACCACTTCTCTACTGCTTCAGCTGCCAGGTGCTGAGATGAGGGGCATGCACAAGAGTGTGTCTAGTCCTCTTCTTGAGCAAAACTGGAATTGGTCAAGGTTGCTGCTGACACAAAAGTGGAGGCTGGTGATTCATTCCTGGTGATGTCTTGGGCCAAATTCCAGAAGGCAGTAATTTCAGGAGGGAGGGGGGAGATTTGCATACATGACCTCACCCAGAAGCTCCGGCCCCACAGCATATAAACCAGAAAGTCAGCACTCCTGCTGTGTTTTACTACTCCCAGGCCCAGCCACCAAGCCAACCAGGACCATGGCTGTGCTCCGTTCCTTGCTGCCACAGCTGGGGCTGTTCCTGTGCCTGGCTCTGTGCTTTTCTCCTGCCTTGTCTGCAAGTTATAACGACCCCTGCATGGTCTTTGATACAATCTCCACCACGGACAACTTGGGAGTCAACGTTACAGTTGAGGGCTCTGGTGGAAACATAACCTACACAGGTGAGTCAAAGCCATTCACTCTGCTGTCCTTTGTTCTCAGAACATACCCCTACATCCTGCCCTCATGTGTATGCGAACAGCATGGGAAACAAGGAGGGCTAGGGCTGACTGAGACGTGAGAGTGCACTGGAAGGACTATTTCTACAGTTTCCTGCCCATAACTGAATCGCGGGTGGTATAAAGCCCTGTGCGTGCGCAGATTAACTGAGCCCCAGCCAGTTCACACCTGGGTAAACATATGGCTGCATTAAAGGGACATTGTATTATTTTGAGGGATTTCATTGTGGTCTTGACAAAATGGCTGCACCCTGAAGGACACCAGCAAGGATGGTCTGCATTTAGTGCATGGGAAAGACCATGTGAGCTAGAAGAAAACATCGGTAGCCCACCTTATAGTGAGGAGGCAGAGTGCAGAGATGATAAATGACTTGCTGGGGACTCACTCCCACAAGTGACAGAAGCTCCCCGATCCTTGGCTATTCAATCTTAATTTAATGTTGTTCTTAGAGATATCTGGGAAGTATTTCATAATCCCTTTTGGAATTGAACAAACCTACAAGTTAAAGAATAAGCATTCTAATTAGTCAAACCTATTAGTCAAAGGAAATGGTTTCTACCTAGCTTTACCTATTTTTTTTAATGTTCATTTTAATTTTTTTATTATTACTATAGCGTGGGTTCTCTCAGGATATGTGTATGTGTTGAGAACAGGGAAGATGAATACTGGGTGTGTGTGTGTGTGTGTGTGTGTGTGTGTGTGTGTGTGTGTGTGTGTGAATTCACTACCTCAACAGGCCTCTGATGTAAAGTGGCAGGTACATCAGGAGACAGGTAGGTCTGCTGTTGAAGGGAGAACAAGAAGTCCATTGAGGGAAGATAAGATGAAGACTGGGAGCCTTCCAGAGCAGAGGGAGGCTGGGCGAGGTGGGGGGAACCACAAGACAATGGGAGAAGGGGGTAGGGCAAACACAGCAGTTCCTGTAGCCTCAGGGAAAGGGAAAAGAACCACTTCCTTGAGTGCCTAGACCTGCTTTGCTCTCCATCAGATTCCATTTCAAACCAGAATGTGTGCGAGCTCTGCGGTAACTCTGACTCATACTTTAAATTGAGGGTCAGAAATCCTCTGTCTTTGGAGAGGCCGAATTCCACACCTACAGTTACAAGAACCATTTACCAATGCCATTGTAGGGTGCCATGGCAGGGACTCAGACCTTCTGAGACCCCGAATAAACACCAGCTCAGCCGCCTTCTAGTGTGTTGACTTGAAATTTATTTCCACTTTGTCATTGTGTCAGCTTTGGCGAGCCATGTGTAAATGACTTGGCAGACCCCTAGAGACAGCTTCAGTGTAGTCAACACCCTCACAGCACCTTCCCTGGACCTGTTCAGGGAAGAAGCCTGTAATATTTACATTAGGACTAGACTAGGCCAGCCTTTGCCTTATTGTTCACTTCTACAGGCAAAAAGTTACTTCCTGAACTTTCCAGCTTTAAGGACATTGTCCTCCATTGAATAAAGAATTTTTTTTTAACGAGCTAGAGACAGAATCCAAGACCTCAAACATGCTAGACAAGCCCTCTACCACCAAGTTTACACCCACTCCTGCCTGCTGCAGGGGTCAGTCAAAAGTAGTTTGATTGCCCAGATACTGACACCAATGAAACCATAGAATGTAATTTAAAATAAATAAAAACCCTCAGGTATGAGGGTAAAAGGGGCTAAGGTAGGCCCGAGGGGGAATGTGAGCAAGATCTGGGTGCCTAAGTGGGGACAGGGTGAATGATAACAAAAACGGGGAAGGCTCCAGACAAGCATCCAGACACGAACAAACCCCAGGCCCAGGTGTGGGTCAGACAGGAGCCAGGTGCATTCACAGAGCAGCTGGGGGAGGGGGAGGGGGAACCAGCTGCCACCATCCCTAGAGTGGAATGTTGACAGGAGAGGGAGGCTAGGCTCTTGGGGTCCTCAATAATGCCACTGACAGGAAGGGGCAGAAATGTGAAATCAGAAATGTTTAGATTCTCTGGATAGGATGCCACACTCCCCACTGGACAGGTTATGTGAGGAAGTCTGGTCTGGTCACTGCTGAGGGACACACTGAGGTCACAACTCCAGAGAATGCACGTGCTTAGGAAGAAAGAAAGGAAGGCTTAAGCCCACAGTGAAAGGGAAAAGGCAGAAAAAGGAACAGTCAAGAAAACATCCTTGGAGAGCTAAGAGGATGGATGACTGTTTATCTAAATGACAATGACACTGTTGTGTATCACCTACCCCACCATGATGCAAAAATGTAGGACAAAAGTCAGCGCCTCTCTGAGTGAGTGAGTCAGGGCTTATGGGATTTGAGTCAGCTGATCTTGGTAAGCAATTAGGCCAATGAAATATAAAGCACTGAAATATAATTAGTAATAGCATTCACAGTTTGTCTAACATGAACCACATGTTAGCATCTTTTCTTCAATCCAGTCAAGAGCCTTTACTGACAGGTAGCATCATCCCAGACAATGAAGGATAATGTCATTATTCTCCAGACCCAGAGCAACAAAGTGGGAATTTACCAAAAAAAAAAAAAAAAAAAGTATAGAGGCTAGGGAAATAATTATTCAGTACAGCACATACCAACTTCTTTCTGGTATCTCATAAATTAGGCATGGCAGCACACACCTGTAATACCTGTACATAAGACATAGAAACAGGAGAATCAGGAGTTCAAGGTCATCCTCAGCTACACCTGAGTCCAGGTGATATCCTGTTTCAAAAAAACAAATACTGTTCACAGTGACCTCTGAGCAAGACGAAACCAAGGCCCAGGGGACACTTACTTGCTCCTGAGTACTAGACCCAGGATGAAGATCCATGACTTCCTGACTTATGCTACCTGAGCCCTTGCTTTGCTTTGTGAAGGAGTTTCAGATGACCGAGGTCCCCCTAAGTTTTGAAGCATTTACTCATACAGGCTCTTCTGAGGGGAAACCAGAGAAAATGAAATATCCTCATGTTGAAATTAACAAAGGTCTACAAGCTCCCCTGTAAGTGCAGACAGGCTGGGTCACAGACCCCAGCTGAGTAGAGAACACCCCTAAGGGGTTATTTGATTGGTCCTTGGATTAGGACTCTGTGGCTCAGAACTCTGTGTCTCATACCTACCTCAACCACTGTTCTACCCCCTCCCTACCTTCAACCACAGAGACCAAGAGAGCAGCCATTCTGGGGTCAGGAGCAAGGCTTTGCTTTTACTTAGCAACTATACTCTCTGCATCCATGAAGCACTTCCTAGGAGACCTCCTAACTTTTTCAGGGGTACATATCTTTGAGGAGAGGTTAAGCTATGTGCTCTTAGGATCTGCCCCCTAGCAGCATGTACAAGAACCAGGGCCAGACTCTTCAGAACCAGGACTCTTAATGGCTTTTCACTGTAGACTATTTGGAAAATAAAATACAAGCATGAAGAAGACTATTAAAATAATCTGAAGCTCACCCAGGCTGGCTTTGAACTTCTTTGTAGCTGAAGAGGAGACTGACCTCATGACCCTCCATCCCTACCACCCAAGTGCTGGAACTACAAGTGTGTGGCACACCGTATTCCCAGTTGGTGTCTTTGTACTCTCTTCTAGGTCATCTTGAGTCTCTTTTACAGCAACAGGACCAAGCTGCCCACACTCTGTAGCTTCCTCTGCTCACACTTCTCTTTGGTTCTGCTTGACTCACACTGACTGCTTCCTGGTCCTTTCCTCCTAGTGCGGATTCCTGTGAACAGTTCCGTCAGTGTTGTGATTCTGAAAACAATGAACCAGAACAACAAGTCCGTGGGTTCCTGGGTTGGAGCAACTCAGGAATGCAACGACAGCAGTGTCCTATATCATGTGACACCCTCAGACAGCTCTGACTTCCAGGCAACGATGACAGTTACTGATTCTGAGGATATAACTAAAGTCAACCTGTAGTAAGGACTGATTATATTTCACTTTGGGCGTTTGAATTTTTATACGAGGTTTATACAGCTTCACATTAACCTAGGTCTAAAACTAGACTGTGGGTGTGAGTGGAGAATCCAGCAGTGGCGTCTCTTATCTACCTCACCTCCCTTTGTTGTGCTTTTCATGCACACACACACACACACACACACACACCTCAGTACACAGTGCTCACATAATCAAGAAGGCTGGGGTACTCTTCCAAGTTCTCCATATTCCAACTGGCATACAAAATAATAGATTTTCTTATGATATTTTGCTCCTATACACCCCATTACCTCCTCTTCTTTCCCCTTTCCTCCAGTTACCTTCCTTCTTGTCAATAGTCCCCTCCTACTTACACACATACACACACACACACATACACACACACACATATGCAAATCTAGTGGAGAATCATCTGTAAAACATACACTCATTTTAGAAAGGAGTAGCTAAGAGAAAGTTGGCGATGAGTAAACACAGTAGTTTGCTTCTGCAGTAATAAATGGATACCCTGAGGTTCTGAGAAGAGACCACCTAAAGGCTGGCATTATTCTTCCACAACAGATGCCTCTCACTCTGAGGGCCTGATACTACACTAACTTTAGAAACCAAGTGAAGAACTTAATGCTCCTGAAAGGATAACCCAGACATAACATGTCCACTGTAGCATTCTGGTCTTTGTGGAAGCTGGTGATGCTGTCAAGTCATCCTTCCCTCTCTTGCCACACTCTGGACCTAGCCAGGCTTCATTGGCTTTAGAGGAGGAACCATGCAGAATCCAAAGGGAACTACTACTACCAATCCTACCATGGCAACAGTTGCTTAGAAGCCAGCTAGTTCTACTTAGACTAAGGATATTGACTATACTGGATGCACCAGCAGGTACAGTCTGCAGTGACACAGCAACAGCATCTGCAGGAGAAACAACACAATCCCACCGACAGTGCATCTCCATCTTCACTTGCCCGTTTACTATGATACACTAGTCTCTCTGCTTGTTCATAATGTACACATTCATGGCCTTGATCAGCAAGACTGACTCAAGGGGAGGGAGACACAAGGAACACCACTGTGCTGAGTAGGGTACAAAAGGGATGTCAGAGGTCTTGGCCTGTAGGATTTACAGTGAATTTGGGAAACAGGACCCATACACATGTAAGTACATGCTCTGCTTTCTCCAAACATGTAGATTCAGAAAGAGCTCTGCTACACACTCTCCAGCCTTCCTCTAGTTCATCACAACCGCAACTGACTCCTTAACTAATTACCTGGATAGTCACTGAAATCTGTCTCTGAAGACACTATAAATGCCATGACTGTTGGGTCGACTGCTGTCTGCTCACACCAAGCACAGTGACTGGCATACAGACTGTGTCCTTTCATGAGTGACTTGCTGGATGCATAGAGGAGGGGTAATGTTATAATTGACTCGCTGAGTTAATGACAACAGATCTGTGGATCATTTCATGAACATTAAATACCTACAGTATGTCAGGCATTACATCAAAACAGAGCCTGCCCTCCAGAAGCCAGCCCTCTGTGGGTGGAGAAGCCAATAGCAATTCAGTGTATCAAAAGGTGGAAGATATGTCAAGGTTAGCCATAGGGAGACTGGACCTGAAGGATATCATTGAGTTTCTGGACAGATATTACCAGGGAAGTTATTACAGACAAAGAGACTCTCTTGAACAAGGGACAAAGATGTATAGCAGCCTGTGGGGAGTTCCTAGTGACGAAGCTAGTGGGAACAGGAGATGAGAGAGTTGTTTGGAGTTAAGAACCCCAGAGGAATTAGTCAAGCCAATATGAACTAGGTCAATATTTAGTGATCAGCTTATTGTGCCACATAAAATGTAAGTGCAAAAGGATTAATGGGAAGGGGTGGTCCCAAAAGGCTAAGACATAGCTTGTGCATTCCACAGATAACGCTCACCATTTCTGTCACTGATTTGCCCTGCAGTGTCTTCATAGCTATCGGCAATGGAACAGCTGTAATGACATCTATAAACCTGGAAGAGCTAAGAGGTAAGTTCTGTTACAAACTCTTGGTGTATTTGCCAGTAAACTCAAGCAGTCTAGAAAATTATTTTACCTAGATATCAACCAAGTTCCCTACCATCCTAGAACCTAGGGTGAGATTTTTCCCAATCTCTTCTTTTATGCCATGTAGAAACAAAAGCCCTCTCCAAGATTTGTGCAACTTTTCAGAAATGCCCATGGTCCCCTGTGGCTCCAAACCCCTACTTCAAAGGGGAATGTTTCTGTTCAGGACTAGATAGGCATCAATATGAAAAACAACATTACTCTCAGTTTCCATTCAGAACCTGAAACCCCACTCACACAAGGTTTTCTATATGATCAACTTTAACCAACAAGTTTTCAAGGGAATTTTGCAGCTCGGGAAATGGAGGGCACTAGTTACACAAAAAGAATTGGTATCACAAAAATGCCAATAATGTCATAAGTTCTTGTTAGCTTGTTTTTGTTTTTTTTCTTTTGCAAAAGGTAGATTGACCTTAGTATCTTGGCACAAACTAAGAAAGTACATGATCCCTTACCTGCATCCCGACCCTTTCATGAGTTTTCTTCCTATTCCGTGTGTGTGTGTGTGTGTGTGTGTGTGTGTGTGTGTGTGTTGCTGTGATTACAAATATATGCCACCACACTTGGAATTATGGGGTTTGGGGAGATCAAACTCAGGTCCTCACAACTGAGCAAAAGAACTTTACTGGCTAAGCCATCGCCACAGCTCTTTCACAGGTTCCTAACAGCTTCAGCCACTCTCATCACCACAGTCATTTCCATCAGCTTTCTGGGGTGCAGACCCTAGGCTCACACTTCCCCCAGCTCCTTATCCACCCTTTCTAGTCCCCTTTCTCTTATTTCCCTGTAAGAAGGCAAAGCATTCCAAACTGAGCTTCAGAAAGGACACAGAGAATATCTGGAGCAGAGTGAGGACTCCAAGTCCGCATCTTACACGTCTTTCTACTTTTCTTACATGTTCGTTGAAACAAAAGAGATCATTTTAATGCAGTTTTTTAATGTAAGATCCAGCCAAGAGCATGCGTGAGGCCTTGGATTCAAATTTCTAGCATGGGGTGTGTGTGTGTGTGTGTGTGTGTGTGTGTGTGTGTGAGAGAGAGAGAGAGAGAGAGAGAGAGAGAGAGAGAGCCATTAGTCTTTCTCAATGACCAAATAACAGGCCTTCCTCATGAGTCTGAGAGCATAGAAAGACAGGCAGCATGTTGCTGATACTCTTGTAAGTCATCTACAATAAGATGTACCAATGGAATAATGTTTTCCAACAACAAGTTTTAACATGCTTATGCCTAATCAAACTACTATATGACAGTCTCAACTGTTTCCTTGTGGTTTTCCTTCTGTGGGGTTATTTTATCCCTCAAGGACATTTTTGAGAAAAACACTTGCAGAAATGCTAATAGAGCAAGAAATGTTTATTTCTAATCAGGACTTTTTAGCTCTATTCTAACAAAATATAGTTTAAAATCAGAGGAAAGGCCCAGAGTGATAGTGTGTACCTGTGTTCCCAGCAGTTAGGAACTAAGGAGGCTAAGGCCTGAGGGTCACAATTTCAAGGCCAACTTGGGATATACAGGATAAGACTCTTGTCTTAAACCAAACAAAAGAATGAAAGCAAAGGGGAAGAATGTGGCTGTGCTCTACTCTCTGGCTGCATGGACTGCCAGAGAAACAGTTGTCCTGGAGAAAATCTAGAAAGAAAGACTGTCTTAGAGCAGAAGGACATCCCCCAAGTAGGTGGAAGGATGCCTGGCCCTGGGACATTTTCCTTCTTCTCTTGTTGCCAAATTTTAAAGAGGAAAAAAGTGTGTGTGTGTGTGTGTGTGTGTGTGTGTGTGTGTGTGTGTGTGTGTATGTGTGTGTGTGTGAGAGAGAGAGAGAGAGATAGAGAGTGTGTGTGTATGAGTGTGCAGAAGCATGCCTGTATACATATGCATGCAGGTATATACACATGGAGAAGACAAAGGAAAACATCCTATACCTTCCTCTATAGCTGTCTTTCTTATGACCAAAGAAAGGAGCTCTCACTGAACCTACGCTTCCCATTTTCAGTTATGCTGTTGCCCAACAAACCCCAACAATTCTCCTGTCTCTGCCCTCCCCTGAAAGTGCCCTTCTACCCAGTGCTGGAGTTATAGACCCCACTCCCAGCTACGGGTAAGATACCCTTGAAGTGTCTGAGTTCCAAGCTCCAGGTTTCCTGGTATCAGATAAGTCCCTAGGAGTGAAGGCCTGGCTCTCTTTGCTTCTCTAATAGATAATGACTGAGAACCAGTGTCTGGCCAATACCTACAAGCAAAAATGCCCTGTGCAAGCCTGAGAAACAGTTAAGGATTTAGATAGGGTATCTCTATATACCTATCTAGATAGGGTATCTCCCACCAATGTTAAGGCAAAGGTCACTGTTCTTGGTTCTACATGACACTGAGTTCTCACAAGACCTTGGAATTAGTAAGAAAATCATAAATTGTACTACATTGGGTCATGTTTGCACTAGAGTTAAGAGTATAAAGATATTTGAGGGCACACTACCTAACCAATGACAAATTCATGTTTTATAAATTCTGTGGGTTTTCTCATCTCAGCAGACTATGTGGGTGCTGGAAAGATGGCTCAGCTCAGCAGTTAAAAGCACTGAATGCTCTCCCAGAAGACCCAGGCTCAATTCCCAGAACCCACAAGGCCCTCACAACTACCTGTGACTCAAGTCCCAAGAAATCTGACACTTTCTAGCCTTAAGAGCACTGCACACATGTGATACATATACATATACGCAGACAAAACAATTATGCGCATTTAAAAAGTAAATAAGCAAAATAAAATGAAGGATAAAAGGCCATGCAGACCTTAAGGATCAAAGCTTAGTTATTTTTGTTATTTCAAAGTCTGAACCTTCTAGCTGCCTACGGCTCCCTTCCCAACATGATACTGGAGGAATATTGATTGGCTTTTGCTCATGATCTCTGGCTTTACTGTCTAGAAAAAAAGAACATGTATTATTATTGTGTGTGTACACATGCAGCTTGTGTGTGGGGGTCAGAGGATAACAATTTAAGATCAGTTCTCTTCTTCCACCTTTACATGGAATTGAACTCATGACAAGTGCCTTTACCAGCTAAGCCATCTTGCCAGCCTTTTCCTAGTGCCTACCCACCTCCCAACAAAGGTCTAATAACATTGCTTCTTTGATTTTAGTTTCTCCCTCAGGAACACCTGTACCCTTGAACCAAACCACAACCATGATGACAGCCAAGACCCCAGCCATGACCACAGCCAACACCACAGCCATGACCACAGCCAACACCACAGCCATGACCACAGCCAACACCACAGCCAAGACCACAGCCATGACCACAGCCAAGACCACAGCCACAAGCCTGGCTGTCAATGCTCTCGGCAGCCCCCTTGCGGGTGCCCTCCACATCCTGCTTGTTTTTCTCATCAGCAAACTCCTCTTCTAGAGCAAACCAGGGAAGCAAATCTCCGACCTTACAGAGCATCCTTCCAAAGCTAATTCCCTGCCAGTGCTTAAACATGCGTGAATGAAGGTTTTATGTCCTCAGTGTACAACTCCATCACCTCTGACCACAGACCTGTGACACTCTTTGAGGGACACAAATATTTGCCTGGATCTTTCAAGGCACAAATTCTGCTTTTTGTAAATACTTAGACCAGCCTATTCTGACTCTCAGGTTTACATGTTGAAAGCCAATCTGAACTTCTGCTTATTGCCAAAGGATTCCCATGAGCCTCTTAGGTTTGTGGTGGGGAGAGGGATCCTTCTTTGCTTTCAAGATGATTTCAGATTTCTGGCCAAATCTACTCAGATTACAAGGAACTTCTGTGACTTATGTGAGACAGAAAAAAAGAGAAATGAGTGATAGTCCCATGGCTATTAGTATATCCCCATTGTGGCCAGACCAGCAGGCTTTGAAGAGCAGAAGTATGTGAAAACTAAGAAGCCAATAACAGGACACATGGGTATTTTCCCTAAGTTAAATAAACGGCTCATTGGACAAGAATAATGAATGTGTTAAATTGAAAGATAAGCTTTAAATGAGTGATGAAATACAAAGTGTTACTCAAATTTGTTGTTTATGTTTTTAAAAATATGAATGAAACAGCGTATGAGTGAGTGTGTGTGTGTTCAAGGACAGATACAAGGTTAATTTATCTCCGTTTTGTTTTGTAAGTAATCAAAACTGGTTACTTCTTCCTTAATGGTAATTTCAACCAAGAAATGGCCCCCAAAATAAATAAATACTTGTAATATTTATCGTACAATGTAGAACTGAAAAAAAATATTTCTAGAAGCAAGTCTGTTAATAAATAAAGTTTTCCTTAGTAATTGCTTTCTTATAACTTCCAGTACCACCTACCCAGGGGTGGCATTTCCCGAATCAATCATTAATCAAGAAAATATTCCACAGAGTTGTAGCATACAGACCAATCTAGTGGAGACAGTTTTCTCAGTATAAGTTCTCTCTTCCTAGATGACCCTGGCCTGGGTCAAGTTGACAGAAACTAACCAACATACAAGATGAAGAGATAACCTCATAACAGTATTCTCTTCTATTAGCTGCTTTCACAAGTGTCACAAAAATGTACTAGCTTGAAAATTGCCTGATTGTTCTCTACATTCTTGAAGAGATGATTGAGGGGGTCAGAGAACTTCTGAAAGCAGCCCTAGTCACAGAGACAGCATAGCTGGGCATGGCAGCACTCTCCGGTAACCCGCACTCAGGAAGCAGAGGACCACTGGTAAGTGTGGGGACAATCTGGTCTCCTAGTAAGTTCAAGGACGGTCAGGGATACATAGCAAGTTTCTGGCAGAAGGGAGGGAGGCAGGACAGGAGAGAGCAGTCACAGGGATGGCGAAAGACAGGATAGAAACACAGAACTTCTCCACATGCATGGCTTGCCACTTAATCACAAAGTTCAGAGTTGGCCCTGTCCTCTAAAGGGCTGAGATGCAAAATAAAAGCCACCCCTGCTTCACTTGTGTGATGAGGGCAGTGCCATTGACGGCAGAAGCCCTGAGTGTGGAGTCAATTGTAGCTGTCATCACAATACATCTCAGTATGCCTTTTGCATTTCCTGAAGTTCTTTGTTTTCCAAGTGAAGACAGACATTCGTGTCTTTCACCGACTGGTGGTTTTCAAGCCTTATTTCTTTTTCTTTCTGCTTCCTCCTCTCCTTCTGGAACACTTGCTATGTGTATGGCAGTGTATTTGCATCCCACAGACCACTCGTTTTCTTTGTTCTTTTTCTTCCTGCTCCTCAAACTAGATCATTTCAACTGACCCGACTTCATGTTCACATATTCTCCTGCCTCTTCACGTCTGCGGCTGAACCTTGAGAGTTTTTATTGTTATACTTTTTGGCTCCAACATTTCTATTTGGCTTCTTGCAATAATTTCTCTCTGCCTACCAATATTCTCTGTTCAGAAATAATTTCCCTGGTTTTAGTTTTTGGTCACTGTTTCTTTTTCCACTTTTAGTATAATTAAATGGTAGACTTCAAGTGTCTGCTTCTTAGGCTGGGCTTTCTTGGGAACAATATCTACCTTTCTTTTTCCTTTGAATTGACCATATCTTTCAGTCCTTTTGTATGTTTTGTAAAATTTTGTTGAAAAGTGGGTATTCTGAATACTGCAATGCACTGATCCTGGAAACCCGACTCTCCCATGTACAACTGGCAGCTGCTATTGTTGACTTTATATCTGCAAACTGCATTCCTTGTGCAGTCTGAATTTCTTTTCTGATCTCTCAGCAGTTAACTAGTGACCTTATAGATTTTGTTAAATGCCAAAAGTTGGCAACTCTGCGGTAATAGCTGGGTTTTTTGTTTATTTTCTTTTGAATAGATCACAGAATTCCAAAAATTTTGACAGGTATTGCCATCTTAATGGTTGCTGTGGTGGAGAGACCAGTGCTTGCTTGTAACCTTTTGTTTGTTGGTTTCCTCTCACATCGTCAGGGGCTTACTGGTGGCCCCAGCTAGCCCTGTGCTAATCACTGTACTCAATCATCTCATTTAATCCTTACTCTAACTCCATGAAAGTTGGTCATTTGACAGATGAAGACACACAGCTGAAGAGGAGAATTTAAAGCCCAGGCAGGAGGTTCAACTCTATATTCCCAGCACTCCAGAGACTAAAACAAGAGGGCTGTCATGCATTTGAGACCACTGTAGACTACATGGAACACCCGGGCTTCAGTGTAATAACTTGTCTCAAAACAGAAACAAAAAAGAAAACAGGAAAAAAAAAAAAAAAAAAAAACAAAACCCGAGAGAGTATATTGTCCAGTCTTGGAGAAAGTAGTGAAGCTGGCTCCAAAAGCTGTTCTGTCTCATTTCTGAGCCTGCCCCTTAATCAGAACAGCTTGGGGGTTCCTGAATAGCTCTGAAATTATTAGGGATTTCCCCAGAGAAAACTGGCTCACCTGCTCATGTGATGAGTGGGTGTGGGTGTCCGTGGCTGACACACAAGCTGTATTCTCTGGGAGTGCTTCTCCGGGCTCCACTGTTTGGCGCCATCTCCAAAGTAAACATTGGTGAATCTTGACGCAACACGCTAGGAGCAGTTTCATATTTATCTTTTTAAGGCTCAGCCTGTTCCTTGTCTCAGGTTCAGTGTGGAAGGTGTGACAAATGTTGATTTTGCTATACAAGTTTCAGTCCTGGCAAAATATTTCTCAGAAGAGTCTTAGACATAAAGAAATCTGGGTTAGCAGAATTCAGCCAGGCAGCACAGAGTCAGCTGAGCAGGAAAATGAGATTAGGAGGCCAGACATTCAATGGGCCTGCCCTGCTAAGTAGGAAGGTGAATGTAGACAAGCTGTTGTGCATCTTCTGCCTTCTTTCCCAGTCTGTTAGACAATGCTCAACCCCAGTGTCTCAGCTCCCTTCCAGGGATCAACTTGGGATTCTCTGTGATACCCCATCCTAATTTTTAAAAAATCTTTGGTTGTCCTTCTTTATTTTTATTATAACTTGTGTGTATGAATGCTTGCCTATACAAATGTCATGGACAGTATGCATGCCTGGTACCTATAGAGGCCAGAAGGTGTCAGGTCCCTTGGAACTGAAATCATGGATAGCTGTAAAACCACAATGTCGGTGATGAGGACCGGGCCCTGGATCCTCTGCAAGAACAACAAATGTGCTTAATCAGGGAGAGCTCTCTCTCCAGCCCCTCAGTCCTAGTTTGAGAGTCAAGTCAGGGAAGATATGTAGATGTTTCCCTATGCTGCATCTGAGTGGTTAACACTCAGTGCCGGGAGCACCGCCAAGGACTGTGAAGCACAACCCAGGCTTGGGTGAGGATAGTGCTCCACAAGAGACATCCTGGTGGACTCAGGAGGCAATAGGATCCAGACAACGGCCACACCTGGTTGCCCTATAAAGGAGTTCACACACAGCAGGCAGAGTAGGCAGCAGATTAAGAGAGCTTACACAAGCCCAGTTTCAAGAAGTGCTGATCTGGCTTGCTATTTGTGTTCTGTCTCCTGAGCCTCATTCATACGAAAGTGACCCCTGCAAATGCACACACAGCTAAGCAGACAGTTGCCACTGGCTGCTCAATCTAGCTCCCATGTGTGCTCTGCTTGCAGCTCTGTGCTTTATAAAATCAATGTATTTCAGTCATTAGGGACAAAAGCAACCTCCCACCTAAAGGATATGACCTTTCTTTCTGAGAAAGCAGGAAAAAGGACAGATGTCTTTCAAACCCAACTACTTCCAAGCCCCAAACTGGTTCAACAGACCAGTTATTATTACACCACTAATTCAAAGCAGGAAGAAAACCTAGAGTGGCAGATTATTAACCCTTAATTCTTTTTCTCATCTAACCAAGGCTGGCATTGAGTTTCTGATACGCTTGCCTTCCTCCTTCATGGTGCTGAGATTAAATGTGCCACCATATCAGGCTATTTTTAAAATAAATGTTTAAGATCCTAGTAATTAAGGGAAAATCTACTCTTTCACAGGATGAGTACCTATGTTAAATGACTAAATTAAAACTCCGAAAGACACATGCCTGGGTTCAGTCTCATTTGGTTCGTATTAGCTGTGGGAACTTGTAGAAATGACTTAGTTTCTGTTTGACTTGGCCATATCATAGGTTGCTGTGAAGGTGAAATGAATTCACACACAAAAGCACCTAAGACAGTGTCTGGTACCAAGTGTACACCATCCAAATATTACCTAATGGTACCAAGTGTACACCATCCAAATATTACCTAATGGCACCAAGTGTACACCATCCAAATATTGCCTAATGGCACCAAGTGTACACCATCCAAATATTGCCTAATGGCATCAAGTGTACACCATCCAAATATTGCCTAATGGTACCAAGTGTATACCATCCAAATTTTAATGCCTAAAAATGATACCAAAATTGACACTGATGGACAAGATAACCAAGCATTACAAACAATATAAATACAGACAACATGGTATCTAGAACAATGGCCAAATTTACAAACTTGTAACTTTTCAAAGAGTAGCTAATGCAGGACTGTGTACCATCTTCCCTTCCTCCAGCCCCAGCTTCACCTCTGCCCTTCCCCTTTCTAAGCAGAAAGTCTTCTAGCTGTCTGGTCAGCTGGTCCTTTTTACAGAGAATTCAAAGAGGGAGGGAATATGAAATTGTTCTATATAATTAAGTGCTGAGTTGGGAAAATGGGGTCAAAGGAAAAAAAAACAAAAACAAAAACAAAAGCAATCTTGGGCTGAGTACTCTGGGGACATAGATCAGAAATTAGAGTCAGAAGAAGAAAAGCCCTGGGACTTCTCAGATGCCACTCTGGGTTACAGACTGTGTCTCCCTTGATGGCCTTCAAGAGGTGCAAGTGAAAATTAAAATCACTTGACTTCTGACTGCTGAACTGTATTTCCATGGATGTGACTCAGCAAAGCTAGTACATATGCACCATCCCACACTGATTTTATGTACATTATGCTCATACAAATAGGTATAATGAAATTGAATACTTATCTATATAAGTGGGAAATAAACTAGTGTATGCAAAATCTCCATGTTCATCTCTGTTTATACACATATATTGATGTTTATATGC